AAGCGAGGAAGATGCAAGCTCGAAGCAGTGATCTGCGATTGCTCTGGTAGGTGCCGGAGTTGCGCAGCAAACTTGCCGAGTTTGAGGCCTGCACCATCGTTGACAGACGTCATGCTGCAACACAGCTGGCACAGAACAGAGCTCTCTCTTTGGTTGAAGAGGCCAGGCAGGAGTCTGCCAGCCGCGAAGTCGAAAGACTCACTGCAGAAGCAGCGGAGGTGCCCGCTTGCAACCAATAATGTGTATTGACAGTGATTGCAAGATATTGCAAGCCTGGATGCGAGAGCCAGACATCATACCCATCTGAAGCTGGGCAGCAGTGTGTCAAGCTCAGCGCCCATAGTCTGAGGTGTCAGCACTGAAGGCACAGATCGCTGAAATGGAGGCTCGCAGCTACCCGGTTGTCATGCGAAGTGGNNAGAAGGATTCGCAAGATGATGATGCAGCTTGCTAGTTCGAACCAGGTGCAGCGCGCGGCTGCAGTCCAGGACGCTGCTGGCGCTTCTGAGCTTCAGCAGGAGATCGAGAAACTCAAAACCGAAGCTGCGCAGGCAGGAGGGGAGTCAGGGAATCCTATAGGCGAAGCAGCAGATGTTCATGAGCAGCGACGTCGCAATCATGTGGTGAGTTGTACTGGTCCTGCCCCAGGTGCCAGAGTTGAGGGGCAAGCTTGTGGAGCTGGAGGCTGCAAGATCCAAATTCCTCCTTGGAGTAGGTCTCGCGGTGTCTAAACGAGGTCTGGCGTAGTCAGGAGTCCTGGCTGATGCTACCTCAGACCCTCTGCCCAACCCTATACCCTGAACCCTGTCGAGGCCTTCAGCCTTCAAGCATGCGATGGAAACACGTCGGGCACGAATTCCGAGCCCATCTTGGCTTTACTGTAGATTGGGACATTTCTTTGAGGGCTCTAGGCTTTGGGGCTGAGGAGTTTGTGGAGCTCCAGGGCTCTAGGGTGTTTGGCTTAAGCGCGATGGGCTTAGGGCCTGACTAGTGTGTTTCAGACCTCACCTGTGAAGAGAGCTCTTGACCCAGTGGCCGGAGGCCGCTGCAGCGCAGCAGCAGCAGGAAATGGTGCAGCTGACCGAGAAGGCCCTCCGAGCAAGTTAGCCAGTTAGTTTGGACGTGACATGCTGAGAAGGCTACTAGTTACTAGTGCGCCGCGCTTTCCAGCAGCACTCAGAGTCTAAATGCAACCACGAGTCCGGGACCAAGACCTCCAGTTGTTGATTGAACTGTCAGGTTGAGGTGCAGCGAGCCAGCATTGCTGAGATGGAGGCTCAGAGCTTTTTGCGGGCCGTGCCCGTATGCTGCTCCACGCGGTGCAGGTTCGTGCGCGCCAGCGTGACGAGGTCCGCAATCAGGTTTTGGTCAAGATTGCAGATGAGGTGATTCAAACTGACCCTTGCTCATGCCAGGAGCTGGCCCGCAGCCAGGCCGAGGCAGCCGTTTCCTTTGGACGTCTGGCGGGAGGTGGAGAGAGGGGATGGGCTGATGAATGCGTGCAGGTGGCAGCACTCAAGAGCCAAGTTGCCGAGCGAGAGGCAGGTGCAGGGATTGTCGCAGGATTGGGTCGATGCAACTGATTTCGACTGCACATCAGCATTTGTCGCCTTCATGCTGCAAGTACCTTCTGCTGGATCGAAACCTCACATGTTGACCAGCACGAGGCAGCTCTCGAAGCTACGAACCAGAGCAACGCTCAGGCACGGATGTGCCAGTGTTGTCCACGGACTTTGTTGAGTTTGCCTTGGGCCGGGGAACACAGACTTCGCCGGAACCCGGTGCAGGCCGTCAAAAGACAGAAAGAGGCGCAGACTCTGTGCGGGACGGCCGCGTGCACGGGGCGGAAGCCTCCCGGGAAGGCCGAGCGCCTCAGATCTGCAGAGGCGGCCGCCTGGCAGCAGGCCGCCCCCTGTCGGAGGGCATTCTGGGGGTCCCTAAACCCCTAGATGCACAGATTGCTTGCCGGCCTCGCTGGCAGAATTTAGCTCGTGCCGACTCGGCACAAGCAAGAATCCTAAACCTTAACACCCCCTCCGCTTCCGGTCTCCTCTCGTGCTCTGCTCTGGCTGGGAGGCCGAAAAGGCCCTGGAAGGCATCAAGGCCGGTCGTCTTGCTTTCGTCTGCTTAGGCTATTCTGGAAGTGCGTGTTTGTTTGTTTGTTTGTTTGTTTTTTGTTTGTTTGTTAATTGTTTCGTTTGTTTGTTTGTTTTTGTTTGTTTGTCTTTGTCTGTGTGTTTGTTTGTTTGTTTGTTTGTTTGTTTGTCTGTTTGTTTGTTTGTTTGTTTGTTTGTTTGTTTGTTTGTTGGAAAACACAAGAAGCAGTGGGATTCTGCTCCAGGCGGAGAAGGAGAGCTTGCAAAGGCAAGTTGCCAGGCACCCAGAACAAAACACTCAACTCCTTCAAAGGGGCTCGTCCCTTCTGTGCCAGAATATCGTTGCGTTTTGTTGCTATATTGAGGATATCTCGACATACACTCGCAGCTAGTACAACTTCTGCGTGAGAAAAGTCGAATGTTAAGGAGAAGCTGAAGACTGAAGCGGCTTCAAGACAAGCAGGTGCCGAGGCCGTTCCCGGAGACGCTCAACTCCTCAGCTACTGGGAACTCAGTGGCCAGCTACTGGGGTCGAAGCCGAAGAGGAGAGACCACACTCCGCGGGAAGGCAGAGCAAAGCTCGTCCGAACAGCTCCGGGCGGAGCTCCATTCCCTGCGGCAAGTGTGCGCCCAAGGGCCTACCGCTGCTCTGCCTGCGCATGCCTGCGCCAATCCGTGGTTTTCAGGAGCTCGCGTCCGCGAAAGAGGCTCGCGGAGCAGAGGCGCGCCCGCACCGCGAAGTCTGCGACGGAGATGGCGAGTGGTGGCGAGTGCGTCTAGGCGCAGCGGGCGGCTGCCGCCGAGGCTGCCGCGAAGGCGCACCACGGCGAGGCCTTGACTTGGGCTGGGCATGCTGGGCCGCATTCCAGCATATTCCAGCACGGGCATCTACAGCGCTTGCTTCACGAGGCGCAGCGCCTCGGTGCTGAACTCGCAGAGGCGACGGACCGCAGGAAAGCCTGGAGCTCTTGGGCCTTCTTGGGCCTCGAGCTGTGCAGGTTCCGAAGCTGAAGGCGCAAGTTGCCGAGTTGGAGGCTTCCTAAAGTCCTAAACCCAAGCGCTTGCGGTTGCAGTGCCTTCGTTTCCAGCGCAGGCAGGCCTGGAGCTGGCTCGCGAGGCGGCGCTTCAGGCACTAAGAGCGGAGCGGTTTGAGCGAGCAGAGACCGGGAACTTGGCTGCAGGCCGATGCTGAAGCCAAGTCAAAGTCACGACCACAGGCACGGAGCAGAGGGCACCATCTCAGGGGAGGTAAAGACAGCTGTGTTGGCTCTCTGGGCGCCGTCGCGAGTACCGGGCGTGGGATGTTTCTTTGCCTCAGGGCTCATGCCAGAGCTTGATGAGCCATGCTTCAGCACCGACAACACGCAGACATGGGCCTCACCCTCACCAACAGCTACTGTACGGAGCAAGTTTCGAGTAAGCTGCAGACTCCTGCAAGCATGGATGCCCAGGGACTGCGACTGCATGAGCCTGCATGAGCCTGCTTGACCCTGCATGACCCTGCATGACGCTGCATGACCCTAGTCAACTGCTCTGTTGGGGGCCATGTTTCCTGGGTCGCTGCCATGGAGCTCCGCGCCACCTCGGTTGCGGCACCTTCCGGAGGAGGTTGCAAAGAGGGTCTGTGCTTGAAGATGGCGTCGCAAGCATAGGCAACAGCAATTCATCACTCGGATATGTTATGTTTTTGTTTGCCTGTGTGCAGCTTCCAGCACCGTGCCGGCTCGGCAAGCGAATCCCAAGGCCTGGGCCCTGGGTCAAAGGGGTCAAGCAGGAGAGAAGGCTCAGGATGTGGGATGAGAGTCTATGTACAGAGATGGTAGAGCTCAGTACGCCTGCAGGTGTGGACATTTTGCTGTTGCGTGGAGAGCTCTGCAACCGAAGTCCCGACAAACCAGCAAGCGAGCGAACAGCTGCTTCCGACCCCAAGAAAAACAACCTCAGCGCCCCAACAGCGCACCCCCCCTCCCGCCCCCCGCACCAACAACAGAATAATCACTGCCGCCCAACCGTAGCGACAACAACGATGACAGCAACAGCAGCAGCGGCAACAACAACAACAACAACAACACCACGCCCCCAGCACAGCAGCAAAACAACAAGTGACACCAGCAAATCCCTTGCCTTTTGCCGACGAGAGAAGTTTCTTTCTGTTGCTGTTGTGTTATTCGTGGTTGTGCTCTGCAGCAGAAGTTCCGAAAGCAAGATCCAGCAAGCCACCGCCGAAAAAGGCACACTTACCGGAGGCAAATGTGGTGTTGTGCGAGTTGAGGCGGCGACTGCTCACGTTTTTCAGGCACCCCCCCCCCCCCAACACTAGAACAGTAGAAGGCAGCAGAGCAAATAGAGTTAGCAGAACCCTTACTGGATAATAATACCACCAGTCAACCCAAAAGACGATTATTCCTATACTCCCCCGTACATCTCAACAACTACATCGCCACTACTTCCCCATTATCAAGACCAGTTTTGGAATAGCCAATTACTCCGTCCATGTTCCCCAAGGTGCAGTATTATCATCCCAAAATGGGCGGCCGGGGAGTGCTATCCTGAGCAAAGCACGAAACCTAGACCTAATGCACGATCCTGGACATCAGCACCGCGCTCGGTATGCTTGCACATGAGCGTTGGCCTTCAAAGGCGCCATGCACTCGCTGCTGCAGCCTTTTTCGCATTGCAGAAACTGTTACTTGCACAAGTCTTTTCCGGAGAAGACTTTTGTGTTGTGTGCAAGCCGTGCAAGCTCAACCAAAATCAACGTGACGTGTGTTTTCGGCACTCAGCCTCTCGACGTCTCCTGTGAAGCTAGAGGACTTGTCATAGTCGGAGGGAGTCCCACGTTTGAGCATTGTCGCCGTGCTAGTCACTGTGGCAAATCTATCGCACTCGATGAATCAGTGAATTTGATTTCTCCCGCAGGCCTTCAAGCTACTTGCAAGGCTTCTGGATCCGAAAGTCTGCAACGAAGAGGCCGTCTCTGTGTAAGCATGATTAGGAAGGGGGAGAGGTCTTGCTTAGTTTGTGTGGAAGGCGATCGCACTTCTACCGAAGCTACTGCGCCGCAAAGTACTTCGGAGCGCGAAGGAGGCAGCAGCGTGGTGGGGGCTGGAACTGCGCCCAGACTGCCCGTCATGTAAGATGCCACCAGGTCACTGTGGCCATCGGTGCTTTGTCCAAGCGGAAGTTGTATCAGGAGGCTGGAGAACTTACAGCCATCTGCGATGTTGTTTGCGGGTTGAAAGGCTGGCGAGTTCGCTTTGGCCGCTTGCCGCTGGAGACCGGATGACCAGCGGCGTCGAGCTCCGGAGCCCAACGTGGCCGTGTGCGGCGACTTATACGAGAATTCAGAACTGTTTTTTGGCTCGCCCAACCCTGTGCTGTCCGGTCTGTAGGACTTGGATGGACTTGGGGCTTAGGGATCTGAGTCCGGAGTCAGGTGCGGCCCTCAATGCGGCCCGGCGGAGTCGCGGCTGGGTGCTGGCAGTGCAACTTATGGAGCTGCCCGGCGGCAGTGAGCTACCTCCATAAACCAAGTTTGAGGGGATGTGTAGAACCGGCTTCCCACGAAACAGATCTAGGCATCGCTGGGGACACACAAAGACGCAGACTGCACTCTCCTCCCGTCCACGTGTTAGGTGCGGGATGGCGTCTAGCAGCTAGCCTGGGATAGCAACAGGAAGCTCGATGTACGTTGTTTGCTCATGAAGCAGGAGAGTGCTGAGGTGCGCGCGAGAGGCGAGCGTGCAACTAGACGAAGCTCAGCTGCAGCAGAGCCGGAGAACAGGAGACATGATACTAGCATTTCGTATGTTTCATTCAGATGCCTCCGTATGATTCTGTCTGTGTCTATGTCCAAGATGCGTTTTGAGGCACCGGGTTCTGACGCAGCGTTTATGGCCCTGGCCTCCGCGCCACCTGACGATGCGTGGAGGCAAGATGGGGCTTCCGCGGGCTCGGCACACTTGGGTTTACGAAGCTTGCAAGGCCTGTTTTAGGGGTTGTCTATTTTTCTGCGAGCCTGTCGTCAACTCTCACGCATCGGTGGCTGCATGCTGCAGGGCAAGCGCCCCCAAAGTGCAGGCTCATGGCGGACCACACCAAAAGCAGGGAGCCAGGACCCAGGATCTGTGCCTTGTGCCAGTAGGGCAAGGATGACGGCAGGTGTCCTTTGGAGTTGTGTGAAGGAATCACTGCGGTCACGTTCGCCTCAGCACATTTTGGAAGATTGCAGCAGCACCTCGTCTTGTTCAGCTCGGGGCGCAAGAACGGGGTTCCAAAGAGCTAAGCATGTGCTCTGTTCCTGAAGACCAGTTCCAACATTGAGGGGCAAAAGTTCGTCAGGTGGCAGCGTGCTGTGGACTTGATCCTCTCATCGCGCTGCGCTGACATCACGGCTTTTGAGGTGCAGAGTGCAAAAGGGACCATGTGCAGTTCCGAACCGCATATGAAGGAGTCTCTGTCGGCTCCGGCTCTTTGGGCTCTTTTTTAAACTAAAAGCAAAGGAAATTGAATCTCCAGCCGGGCCCGGCCCGGAGTCTTGTCTGTCATAAATGTGGTCCCCCTTTGGTTCAGTCTGCTGCCCGGAAGGCCGCGTAAGGGGTAGCTGGGGAAGGAATTCACGGTGGCTTTCTCTTAAAGCCTGTTATTTAATAAACTTTAATAAGAAAGCCTAGCTTTCTGAAGTCCCTCAGCTTTTGGAAAAAGCTTGGCTCCGAAGCGCAGCCTCTGCCTGTGCCGAAAGGCAAGCCCTGCTTCGGTAAAGCTGCAAGCGAATTTTTGAAGCTTCCCGAAACAAATTTAGTTGAATGTGGCCCCTTTTCCTCATACGAAAATCCTGGTCCCTTTTTCAAAGAAAATCCTGCCGCAAGTGCAAATAGTCTTCCATACCCAAACCCTGCCGAAATATTTTTCATTAAATGTGGGACCTCTTTTACTTCCCATCTTCGGATTAGCCAAGGCCACAAAGCCGGGCTGAAAACATCCGTAGCTGAGTTCCGAGGTGCTGGTCGCTGCGGCTGCCGATGCCGGAGAGTGGGCTGTGGCTCTGGCATTGACAGAGACGATGGAGGCCCTTCGGAAATCTGTGCTCGAGCATGCAGCCTACAGTTCTAAAGTTACGCCTGTTTTTCGTGGTCCTCACGATTGCGATTGGGGTGTGTGACCGAAAGCAGAGCGAATAAGCTATTTTGCGATGTTTTGCATTCGAGGTTCAAACTTTTCCTCCTGCACCTGTTTAGCCCTCGTGCTTGCCATGTCATTGGGCAGAGCTACTGCAATTCCCCTCTGGTCATTGTACGCCCTCCACTTGCAACAATTCGACCTGGCGACTGCCCAAGCGACTGGAATGCAGCAAGCACGCAAAGCCAGCACAGGACAGGACACGACCATGTCAATGTCGCCATAGCTGGGCAGATATGAAGGCTGTGGCCTCACAGAGCAACATAAAGCAGATCACAAGACGTGGAAGACTAACGACGGAACCGAGTTTCGGGCCGCACAAGTTCGGCATCATGGAGAAATTGAGTCGCCCAACATCTTGTCCTTCGAGACGCCACGAAAAAACATGCAATCTGAAGTTCTAGTGACTAGTGACTAGTGCGATAGGAATTGCTTTCTCTCACTGGGTGCTGCCGACATGCTATGGCCTGCAAGATGCACTCGTCTGAGCCGCGCGGGAGTATAAACATCGAGATATCCACAGTCCTTGGCCTACCTCAGCCTCGTCTTCGGATGCTGACGTCAGGCCCGCCTGGGCTTTGCATCCGGCGGCGCCTTGGCCACGGCGGCCGCAGCCAGGGGCCCATTTTCAAAACGTGTCGGCACGGAACACAGCATGAGAATTTGTCCGGGACTTTCAGAAATCTCGCCGCATCTCGCCGCAACGCTTTCTCAAAGCCAGCCGGACCCGGGCCTCCTGCAACTCCACGCAGTTCCACGCAGCCTCCTCGGAAAACCTGCTAGTGCTTGCTTCACCCTGTCGTTCTTTCCTGCGAGAGGCGCCATTCCGAGGTCTTTCAAGGAAGCGCTCGCAGAATGGGTTGCTCTGGATCCAAGGCAGCGGCCAAGAAGGCAGAACTTGGGGAGCCTGGAATTATCATAACTTCACGATACTTCACGGGTGAGGAGGTTCAAACCTGGAATGCGATGGAGTTGCAGTGGCGAGCGACAATGAAGCCCAAAAGCACGATTTCGGGAGGCGGCACCAGTCAACAAGCAG